CTCTGTCCTGGTGTCGTCTTCTGGTAAGGACACCAGTTCATATTGGATCAGGGCCCACCCATATGTCTTCATTTTACCTTGGTTAACTCTTTAAAGGTCCTATCTCCAAATACAGATACATTCTGAGGGACTTCCACATGTGAATTTGGCGGGGGGCACAATTCAGCCGATAACACTGGCTTACTGCAAACTGCTTCATTTCCTCCTTTTTATCCCTAAGGTATCCTCAACGTAGTATCCTAAACATGCCTTTGCTAGGTACCTGCACAGCTTTGTTTTGCATTTAGTTGTTGCAAACATGTTTCCTCCTATGCCTACTAGATAGCGTGTCCTACTTATTGTTGTATCTCCATTGCCTAGGAAAGTACTTAGCACACAACAGATGCTCAACAAATATTTGTGGAAAGAGTAAATAAATGAGGAAAAGATTAAATGAATGAATGAGAGAAAAGAAAGCTTAGTCAAAGGGAGGCAAATTAGGAGGCCCCTATAATTCACTAGGAAAGAGATATTAGGGTATGACTGAAGTACTAGCAGTAAAATAGGTTTATTTATTCATTCATTCCAAAAACATTCACTGAGTAAGAGCATAAATATGGGTACAACAGTTCCAATTTCCATCATAATATTAATGACAACAATAATCAAAAATATTCACACAGCAATGTTAATGCCCTAAACATAGTAACTGATCTAATCCTCAAAGCAGCCCTGGAGTTAATTTTTGGTATATCCTGAGAGGTAGGGATCCAAAGTCTTTATTTTGCCTATGGCTATCCTGCTACTTCAGTACCACTTGTTGAGCCCAACCACTTTTTATTTACCTTCCTCTCCCTCCTGTTCCCATGTCCCTCATACCTGGCTAAGACACATGGTTCACTATTTTAATAATGCCTCGGCTTACAGCTTAAGCCCCCTGGCCACTCTCTCTGTCACTAATACTTTGCCTAGCAAAACTCCATCTGGCAGGCAGAAGGAGCTCAATGAGTTCCAGGTTGTATTGGTGAGAAATGGTATAGCCTGGTAAAATTCTTTTTTTTAATTGAGTTATAGTCAGTTTACAATGTTGTGTCAATTTCTGGTGTACAGCACAATTCTTTAGTCATACGTGAATATACATGTATTCATTTTCATATTCTTTTTCACCGTGAGCTACTACAAGATATTGAATATATTTTCCTGTGCTATACAGTATAAACTTGTTTCTCTATTTTATATATACCTGTCAGTATCTGTAAATCTCGAACTCTCAGTCTATCCCTTCCCACCCCTCTCCCTCCTGGCAACCACAAGCCTGTATTCTATACCTGTGGGTTTGTTTCTGTTTTATATATAAGTTCATTTGTCTTCTCCTTCTTCTTCCCCTTCCCCTTCCCTCCTTCTCCTTCTCCTCCTCCTCCTCCTCCTCCTCCTTCTTCTTCTTCTTCTTCTTCTTCTTCGTCTTCGTCTTCGTCTTCTTCTTCTTCTTCTTCTTCTTTTTTTTTCTTTTAGAGATCTCCATATTGCATCTCCTGTAAATATAGAGAGTTTTATATATAGGATATAGATTTTTTTAGGAGTCAGAATAATGGTTATCTTTTTTTGATTCAACTTTTTATTTTTTTAATATTTATTTATTTTTTACTTTTTTAATTGAAGTATTGTTGATTTATAATGTTTCAGGTGAACAGCAAAGTGATTCAGTTATAGATATATATATTTTTTTCTTTTCCAGATTACTTTCCATTATAGGTTATGGCAAGATATTGAATGTAGGTCCCTGTGCTATATAGTAGGTCTTTGTTGTTTATCTTTTTTATACAGTAGTGTGTAAACACTTCTGAGTATGTTTTTAAAACAAGAACTGCCCATGAATAGATAATTTAGATTTAAGAACCTAGTTACGCTAGTTTCACATAATAACAGTACAGTGTTAAACATATTTAGAAAGATACATTATGTCCTTCCTTGCCCTTGATATCTAACATGGAAAGTTTACCATAAGCATGATACAGCAACTTTTAACTTTTATTCCAGTCTCTATTCTTTTCTTTCTCACAAAATTCAAAGTAAAAACAAAAGATAAACCAACACACACATACACACGAATATTCAACAAAGTGAAAACAAATACTTAGAGCCTCATCACTCAGTGTTTCTAATACACACCACATAATGTGGAGCGATGCTGCTTTATGAGCATTTCTGGCAGTGTGAGCTTAAAGAAAAGAGAAAATGGAGAGATCACCTTCTGTCTCCAAGCTTATACCAATTAAACAGTGCTAGGAGCTTTACCTTCACCTATACGTTTTCTCCTCAGATACAGAAGGCTGTTGCAAAACTGTTTCCTTCGATTCTCATTTCCTAATGACACCATTTGTATTTCCTGGAGACATTATTGAAATATTCTCCAGTATTAAGGGTTATTAATATCCCCACTCTCTTGTCCTCAGCTGGGTCTGAATGCTTGAACATCTCTGGTGGGAAACTTTCCTTCCTGAGTACAATCATCTATGTGTTCAGAATTTCTGATGTATAAGAACTTTTTTTTATTAATATCTACTTCAAATGTTATCTTCCTTATCTTCGGGCCATTTCCTTGTCTACATGGAGATTTAGAATAATTTTCTTCCTCCATTACATTTTGTTCCTTGAAGGTAATTTTATAATCAGAGTGCATGTTCCCCTCTCTTTCTGAAGCTTCCTTGTTTCAGGCAAAATACATTAAGTCTCTAGTCGAATCCTCTGGATCTTGTATTATGTCACTTGTCTCTTGGATATTCTCAGTGTGGAGATAAGAAAGGAGCATTGTAGTCTAAGTTGCTAATCCAAGGGTAAAAACCAGAGGGCTTATAGTGTTCCTCATCCTCCCCTGTATCCAATGTCTGAAAGTCTTTTAATGTATGAATAAAAATTTGGAAATGTAGAAACCTAAATGATACAGTAAATATTACAAAGAGTGGACCATTGACATTTTTTGTATATGACTTAAACCTTCCTATAAAAAATAACAGAATCACTACCTCTTTGACTTATATTTGATGTCATTATAAATGTTTATCTCCCCTGTTACATGGTATAACAGAGCCTGTAAATGTCTTGTAAGTTTTGTGTTACCTGAGACAGACTGTCCATTTTAACATTTTTACGTTACTACTTGTGCTTTTATTTCCTCTGCTTTGAAGTCTACATCTGTTTTTATGTCATCACACTTTGATTTGAAATTTTAGCAATTTAATCTTTAATACCTCTTCTTACAAATACACTTAATATATTCATAAAAATTCATTAGATATTGTTATTAAAGAAGAAAAATAAACAAATAAAGCAGGTTTTAATAGATCAGTTTAGATTATAGTCTTTGTAAAAGTGTCTTATCAGGCTGGAGTAAATCTTAAATGTTATTTAATTATTTATTAATTTTCAATGTTCCCATAAGCTTGTTTTCTCTTGTTGTCTAACACATTCAATTTTTAAAAAGTACTTGTGCTCAGAAAGTTTTTTTGTAAATACAGACAATATTCTTTTTAAAATTTTATGGAAGGGCAAAAGATCTAAAATAGTTAAAACTATTTTGAAAATGAAATATAAGAACCAGTCTCTCTGTCATTAAAGGTTACTATATACCCAGAATAAATATGACAATGTACCATTAAAAGGGATAGGACACATAGATCAGTGGAACAGAATAGAGAACCCAAGAATAGAACCACACAGATATATCCAACTGATTATTGACAAAAGTGCAAAAGCAATTCAACAGAGTAATTAAACATTCATAGGCAAAAAAAAAAGAAAAAGAAAAAATGATCCTCAGCCTACACCTCGCCCTTTATACCAGAATTAACTCAAAAGACCATGGACATAGATGTAAAATGTAAAGCCATATAACTTTTAGGAAAACAATTTGGGATCTAGAGCTAAGTAAAGACTTCTTAGACTTGACTTCAGATGATTCATAAAAGGGAAAATCAACAGATTAGATTTTAAACTAATCTAGATTTGCAAACTACATACCCAACAAAGGACTATTATCTAGACCATATAAAGACCTCTCCAAATTTAACAATCAAAAATCCAACAATCCAATTAGAAAATGAGATAACGACATGAGCCATTTCACCCAAGAGCGTATACAGATAACAAATGAGCACATTAACAAATATTCAACACCAACAGAAAAATGCTAAAATAAAAATAGTGACGACACTAAATGTGGGTAAAGGTGCAGAGAAACTGAATGACATACATTGCTGGCAGGAATGTGAAATGGTATAGCCATTCTGGGAAAATTTGGTAATTTCTTTTAAAAATATGCAAATAATGAATAACTCAGTGATTGCACTCCTGGGCATTTATCTCAGAGAGATGAAAACTTATGTTCACACATACAGCAGCCTTATTTGTAATAGCCAAAACCTGGAAACTACCCAGATGTCCTTTAACAGATGATGGTTAAACAAACTGTGGAACATCCATACCATGGAAATACTGCTAGACAATAAAAAGGAACAAACAATCAATACATTAGGCAACCTGAGGCATCCAGAGAATTATGCCGGGTGGGAAAAAAAAAATCCCAAAAGGCTACATATTTCATGATTCCATTTATATATCATTCTTGAAATGGGAAAATTATAGAAATTGATTACTGGGTGCCAGATGTTAAGGAGGGAGTTTGTGGGAGAGGAGTAGGTGTGGTGATAAAAGGGCAAAGTGAGGGATCTTTGTGGTGATGGAAATGCACTGAATCTTGACTATATCAGTGTCAAATCCTGGTTGCAGTCTTGTAATAGAGTTTCGAAAGACGTTATCACTGGGGGGAGGGGGGTGAGAAAAGGGCATACAGCAAGTCTCTTATTATTTCTTGCAGCTGCCTGTGACTCTACAATTATCCCAAAATAAAAAGTTTAATTTTAAAAACTGATTGTGTTTGTCAATAAACTGTAAAGATAAATTCAATGAAATGAGAATGAGACTCATGTGGATCCTTATTTCCTTTTTTTGGTTTTTCCTGTAAGGTTTGCGAGGAGCGATCGCCTTTGCCTTAGCTATTCGGAACACAGAATCTCAGCCCAAACAAATGATGTTTTCCACCACGCTGCTCCTCGTGTTCTTCACAGTCTGGGTGTTTGGGGGAGGAACGACCCCCATGCTGACTTGGCTTCAGATCAGGTGAGTGACGCTGCTTGACGAAGGAAATCATGACGAGGCATGCCTGCACTGCTGTTCTTGTGTTGCTAATTTGGTCCAGAGTGCAACGGCATGTCTGTCCACTAACTTCCCCGGGGGTAAAGCAGACAAGGTGAAACAACATGACCCATCACCAACAGAACTGAACTTTTCCAAGAGTTCTAGAAATCTCGGATGATGTATGTTTCCAGTCTGTCCCTAGGAATGAATTTATTTATCTCTGATATCTTCCCTCCAGCCACATTTATTGAGTACAATCTGACATGCTATGGAGTTTCCAAAATTGAGTAAGACCCAGGTCTTGGCCTCAAGATCTCATGATCCAAAGAGATTAATACAGAAAAAGCTGTAATACCAAGGAGAAAATGAATTTGTTTATTTTTAATTCCTCACAGCACTTAGGATAGAATTAGGGACACAGGAAATGCTTAAATGTATTTGATTAGTGAGCCATATATTTAGCCCGAGGGATGCTATAGACACAGACTAGACAATTTCTCAAAGGAAGATGGGGTCAAGGCTTCCATCAGGGGCCCTCCAATCAGCAGTGCGGGGGAGATGACTGCCATAAAACTGAAGTATTCAAGGAGTAGACAATTTGATGAAAAATGAACAGCTTGTGCCAATTGTGAAAAGGGGTAAATCTGTTGTAAAATGTTCTTGTCTTTATTTAAGTGTTTCTTTGACCTGGGTCCTCATTCTCCCAGAATGTAACAGTGCTTTACGTAAATCACATTTCACTTCCCAAAGCCGTATATCTTGATGATCAAGAAGCCCCTCCCTAGTCCCCACCCATTCTCTGTTAGGCAAATCTGTACCTACTACATGTGGCAGGAAAAGATCCATCTGACTGGAAAGGGACTTCCAAGAAAATTCTTCCAGACAAGGACTCTGTTATTCGAGCACCAATGCAGTGCCTGGCACGTGGCAGAACTGAATAAATAATTGCTACGTGAAAAAATTAAATGAACATAACCACACAAGTAAATTCCTTTTTTTAGGCTTTTACTGACAAATTTCTATCTATTTGACAAATAGAAGCAGAAACAGGGCTCATGAATTTAGTATAAGAAAGCTTATGTCTAAACTAGGCCAAGTTGCTATGCATTAAGCCATATTCATGGGGCAAAAAGGACCTCTTAAAGTACTGTGAATATTACTAAACACATAAAAGGACTTTGACCAAAGGTTGAAATGGAGAGAGCTTTGAAATGCTCGCTGGACTATTTTCCAGGCAAAATGTGACCTGTAATTTCTTTCACAGTGCTCTGGATGAGCACAGATATTACATTAAATGCTATAGTGTTGGGTCCCATGTAAACTGATAGTAAGATAATGCTGTGTTCGGGTTTCTGGAAAGTAAAATTCAGTAGGTGGATCCATGCATAGAAAAATTAGGACTTGGAAAGCAGGAGTTAGAGGAGACCAATCCCCAGCAGATAAACATATTGAAGGCTCTATCAGGTAAATTCGAATATTCAGAATATAAAGTAGTGTTGTCAACATTTTTCTTGAAGTAATTCAAATATAACTTATTTTCTACTGTTGTCTTTCTTTACCCTTAAAGAGGTTGTCCCCAAATCAATAACATGTTTTACCTTAGAGTGTTTACCTAGCTCTCCTATGGTGTTTTCCAAAGGTATCCATTGGCTTAAAATAGATGTCATAGCTTATGCAGTCTCTTGATGTCTGGGTCAGCAGGGAGAGGGTAATATAACACTGGGGGTTCTGGCAGATTAGAGCAATTATTCAGATTATAAAACAGAGCCTAATAAAGAAACATAGTAATGTCAACCATAGTGCCCACACGAGAGGGGCCTGGAGGTCATCTTAGGCCAGTATTATGGCCTTATGGCCTGCTGGGGGCACAGCATGGAGTTGCCAGGTCATGGATGCCTCAGTGAGAACTGGCCCCAAATGTCCCTGCTGATTCAGTGCCAGACTTGCCCACCAGCCAGGAGGGGAGAGCAGTGAAAGCAGGACCCTGATGTATTTAGGGAAGGGAGCCAACAGGGCTCCAGTCTTGCAGGCCAGGTGGAAGTCCCAGCTGGGAACTAGTGTTAATCTGAAGTCAGGCAGAAACCCAGTTAGAGAGACCAGAGATCTGGTCATGAGGAAATCAGAGGGGGGTAAGTGAGGTTTATAAGGATGTGTGTAGCCAGGAAGTCAACCCAGGCAGACAGGACACAGGGCAGGAGGACCAAGTTAAGACCAAAAGCTCTCAAACTTTAATGAACATCAGAACCCCCGGGAGGGCCCATTAAACCTTAGATTACTGGGCCCTTGCCCCAGAGCTTCTGATCAAGCAGATCTGGGTCAGGGCCCAAGAACTTGCATTTCAACCCCATTCCAGGTAACGCTGATGCTGCTGGTTCTAGGCACATTTTGAGAACCACTGGTTTAGACTTATAACCCCACATGGAGATGGGGCTGATATTAAATACTGTCAGATTTGGCTGCGGTTGCCCAAGGCCAAGAACACCTGAGCCTTCAGTTCACATATTTTAGGACCTATACCAGAAGGAAGCAGGCGCTCACTTGAGGAGAAAATGCCACTGTGCATTCATCAATGGGAGGGAAATAGAACATAGTAGAATAAACATAAAAGAACAGGACCATAAGTTAGTGTGTGTGCAAACACACACACAAGCATGACATAAATTTGGTTTGACCATGTTACAGTGACACCATCTTATGCTCCACCTCCCTGTCATGGTTTATAATGCTATCAAAGAAATCCTCAATCTTATTATAGCTTTTCAATGATAGTTGTCCATCACTTACACTATATTTAGCAAGACTTTGCTTGTTTACAGAGCAACATCTCATTAACTAACTTTCATGTCTGACTCTTTCCATAAAATACCACAATGTAAGTAAATTGGAGCTTTAATAAAATGACACATAAAGGGAAACCCAAGGGGCATGAATGCAAATGTGATGTCGAATGCACTCAGACATCCTCACTTGGTTATGATTTATTTATACACTTTACATTGCCTTCCCTTCTTGATTTTTTTTCTAGATTTTTTTCCTCTTAAATTATTAGGTATGTACTTGAGCTATTTTTCAATCCCTATAAAATTTGCTATTCAGCTGCAAACTACCACAGTAAGATGTAGATAAAATGTTTTATATAAGATAAAAATTGATAATATTAATATGAACTGCACTTTGATAGAAATAACTTCAAAACAGCAACGACCTCATGCTTAGAGAAACTCAGAATGATCTTTACATAGGAAACAAATTCTCCATTGGTTAAGTCTTGTCCTAAGCACATTCAAATTTCTTGTCCTAAAGCTGTTTTTTTTTTTAAATAATAACAAGATATTTTTAATTCAGCATTTGAAATAAATCACAGGTCTTTGTTTCTTAAAGTTCTAGAGAAAAAGAAAAGACTCTTCCTGTATTATTTTGGAGATTTTCATGTAAAAGAAAGTAGAATGGTTTCTTGATTAGAATTCGAATCTCCTCTCTTCTGTAAAATACATTAATACTGGTGGTGAGAAAAACCCAACCCCCAGTCTCCAAGGACTAGCTCTGCTGTTAGCCAGGAAGCAAGGGATCAAAGTGTCAGGCTTTGCCCTACAGAGGCCAGTAAACAGTATTATCTACCAAATGATCATACATGCTCACAAATAAGCCTCAAAACCCAATAAGGCAGAGCTTTCGGGCAGTGGTAATTGATTTAGGGTGATAACCCCATCCTTAGTTTAGAGTAGAGCATCACATGGGGTTAACAAATCTCATGAGAATGGAGCCCATACCACAGTACAAACCTTTGCTGGCTTCTCCCAGATAGTAATGCTAGACTCATCTCTTCAAAGTATCTGAATCACAGTGCAGAAAGCCTTGCACAGCAGAGCAGTTCAGAACCTGTATTCCAGACGATAATGAGAAAGTGCCCTCATCAAGAGGATGTCTACAGCTTCAAGATTTTTGCTTCTTATGTCTCAAAGAATAATAGCCCGCTTTTATTGACTATTTACTCTGTGCTAGATATTAGATAATAAGGTGCAAGGCACAAACCTCCCTGTGACCGAGCCTCTAATCTATCAAGTGGGGATGATAGTCGTAGCAACATCTTAGGATGCCTGAGGCCAGGAGAAGTGGCTCGGGGTCCCACCACTGTCGGGCTGCAGAGTCAGACTCCAAGCCGAGGCAGCCTGACCCCAGAGCCTGCAGTCCCAGCTAGTTCATTCTTCTGCCGCCCTAAATAAATGAGCTTTCTCTGCAATCTACCTTGATTAACAAATCCTCTGGAGGAAAAAGAGATGTCCTTTTATAACCAAGACAGGCCTGTTAAAAAGAAACACAGGAAATCTTCATCCATCATGAGTGATTGGTTTGACTTACTCACACAGCAGACATTTTTCAGTGCAGATTTTTCTCTTTGACCTAGAAAAGTTAAAGGTAAACAAGGCCAGCCCTGGTCTAAGGTAGCCAAGCGGGGAAGTTTGTCTTCCTCAATTATAGGAATTTGGAATTAGAGGAATTTATTACCCTCAGGCTCATCTTCCAACCCCATTTGGAATCCCAAGTCAGCCAGCTGTCGGCCTCTTCCACCCACAGATCAAACAGAAAAATTGCACAAACTGCCCTGTGTCCGTTGCAGAGTTAATAACTTGTAGATAGTGCAAGATCTCAACTATGATTATTTTAGTTAACAGTTTAAATTTTATTTGGGGTTTAGGGCCCATCCCATTTTATGTCATCCTAGAATGACTTCTTTACCATATATACCCACTGGTTACAAAATTTTTAATAACAGCCATCATGGGGATACAGACAGAGGTAAAGAGAGGACTATTTTTAGTAATATTTTTTAATCTTAAACAGTAACACTTAAATATACCTGCTTATCTACAGACTTCTTGTATTGCTGAGGTGAGGAAATATCAATTTAATAAAATGGAAGCATACATATAATCATGTTCCCTCAGTAGCTGTGTTCTGTTTGGTTTTCTTTCTAGCATCCA